CTGCAAATAAGGCGGACACGAAAGGTTTGTATATATGGCAAGCTAATGAATTTGTTGCCTTCTTTTGTTTTTCTGAAAAAGTGGTTTGAGATACAACAATAAAACACTAAACCAGATGTGGTGTAAATTACATCAACCCACATGCGATAAGACGATGAAGATACTCGGTAACCACCAAACGGCCACCACAAACACGCGCACCTGCCCGAACGCCAATTATTAGATACACAAAAGTATGCGGATAGGATGGAAAATTGGCAAAACGTTTCTGGTTTAAATTAATTCTGAGCCACAATACGGTGACGAGGGGTCAACAAAGGGTAAACATCGAGCCTGTCTGAGTTGACCTTCCAATGAAGTCACGTGCATCCCTGCCGGCCCTGGCGTCAATCACAAGGATTATGTCATCGATACCCCGGGAAGATGTCGGGAGGGGAACGTGTAGATGACCTGGAACGAGTACAATCACATATACTACAGGAATTCGTAGGCGACGTCCATTGGGGAACCTATGCAGTGTTGATAACGTGTAAATGTAGGCGTTATGTATAGGGGGGATTTTAGGGGTAATTAAAAACATACAGGATATTATATATAAACAACCTCATCGACATATTCCGGTGAGTTAATGGGTGCATCATATTCTAAATAAATTCATAGACATACGCCAATATTGTTTCTAGTGCCCCGTGAATCACCTATGGTGACATTACCTTTTTTCCTTGTCTCAAAATAAATGTCCTAGAGCGAAGTATTTGCGTCAGACGTATTTATCATAGCTTAACATTCGAGCTCGCTGACTAGGTAATGGAGCATAGGAACAAATGTTATCTACAGAGGAAGATAAACATATCCGAGTTGTTCATTCCTGTTTTTCCTATCAACCTCAAACGACTTAAACTGCTCTGTTCAGGATTGCACTTAAAGAATGTGTACCTTCATATATATTAATCTACGATGACGTTTGGTTGCCTGCTGGAGTCATATCAAAGGAATTTTGAGAAATGACACCTGTCCGCTATGTATAGGTAGGCTGGGTCAAACTGAAGCAGAATTCCTATCGGGCACCTGTTTATTTTCCAAATGAATCAGTTGGACACCTGAGTGACGTAACGCTCTTGAGATTACAGCCATAGCTGACAAGTATTGCTACAACGGTGTTAGGCTTGGAAGTTGACCTGAAACATTCTTGTTTAAAACAATTTAAGACTCCTTTTAATATATATAGAAACGCATCATCGAGTTACAAAAACGTTTAACCTGTGTTGCGAACTGGAGCGAGTGTTTTCTATTTTGATTTCCAAATAATTTCGACTATTAAATCGAAATAAATCTTTTCATATTCTGATAGTTAGCTGGGCGTTCAGTACTAAAGCTTCGGTGGATTTTTATTCGCCGACCTACATTTCGGATCAACCAATTCTGCAGTACAATACAGCCTTTTGGATAGCGTTTTTCCATTGACAACCTTTGACAAATTTTCGGGAGATATTTGTTCATGACAGCTATTGACAAACATTCGGATAAAATGTGCTTTTTTGACAATTGTTGACAAAAATTCGGGTAAGATCTGTGTATCGAGACAATTGTTGACAAACATTCGGGTAAGATATTTTATCCAGACAATTGTTGACAAACATTCGGGTAAGATATTTTATCGAGACAATTGTTGACATACGTTCTGGTAACATTTGTTCAATGATACATTAGACAAATTTTCGGGTAGCGTTTATTCATTGACACCTTTTCACATCCATGCAGGCAACAATTCTTCAAAGATATCCTTTGACAAACATTCGTGAAACATTTGTTCATTGACAACCTTTGACAAACATTTGTAAAACATTTGTTATTGACAACCTTTGACAAACAATCTTAAAACATTTGTTCAGTGACAATCTTTTGTAAAACATTTGGTGATTGACAACCTTTGACAAACACTCGTAAAACCTTTGTTCATTGACAAACTTTGACAAACAATCGTTGAACATTTGTTCATTGGCAACCTTTGACAAACACTCGTAAAACCTTTGTTCATTGACAACCGTTTGTAAAACATTTGGTCATTGACAACCTTTAGTAAAACATTTGTTCATTGCCAACCTTTTGTAAAAGATTTGTTCATTGACAACCTTTTGTAAAACATTTGGTCATTGACAACCTTTGACAAACATTCGGGTAACAGTTTGTCATCGACAGCAATATTTGTTCATTAACACATTCGAATAGGATATATGCATCGTGACAATTGTTGACAATATTCGGATAGCATTTATTCGTTTTCGTTCTGGTTATTTTCATTTACAAATCACACATTCATATTTTTTTGTAACACTATTGACAAGTTCATAGGTACCATGCGCCAATAAACACCATGGATGAATAAGTTAAATCTACAATTAAGCTTTAATCATAAAATATCACATTTCGCCCACATCAATCGAATTTTACAGTTAATAGAATCGTTAGTGTTGCGAGATTAAAAACTACTTAGTAAGGACTGCCGTTTCTACTTTTAATCAGATGGGGAAATCTAGCTAATGGAACCTCTTTAATCAGACCACTTTAGCTTCTAAAAATAAAGTTTTTTTTCGATTGTTGTAGCAGAAAAAGTCCATTATGGCGGACGTTAGTTATTTAACAACAGTCTACATAAACCTGCGATTACCGCACATGCAAAGACCAGAAGAGCGATTTGAAATAGTGCTTTCCTCGTCGCATTCCATTCAGATGTAAAATGCGAACAGGTAGTTGTGTAATTAACCCGTCTTGCGGTTTATGGATGGCAAATCTCCACGTCTGTCAGACTCTGTATCACCGGATCATAGAATAAACAGAACCGCCCGCCACTCTTTTGTTGCGATAACCTTTTCCGATACTCCCAAGTCAAGCGTGACTTTCGGATGTGTCAGACGTTACTAGCATATCAGGGCATTTCATAGAGCAACAAATAAATATCTTCTTCCGGCATTCTCTCAAGTTTCGTTAAATTGAGCAGAGCTTCATGTTTCTGCTAAAATTAACATCAAAGGATAGTACAGCATACACACAAGGATTCTGGTAAGCTTGAACGTGCATCACTTCCAGCACGTCCTCAACGCCCAAAGGGAGGCAATTCAATATTCTTGATAACAGTTCCCTCTACTCATGAATAATGTATCATTGCCCTTGACGTTTAGCCATAAATCTGCAATCGAAACATAATAGAAAAATACGAAATGGACCCAATAACACACATACATATATGCTGAGAGATTTCAAAAGAAATAAGGTGGATATAAGCACTTAGATTGGAACCCAGTCCACTGGATATAAACAGTACTACCAAAATATATTTGCAGTTAATGTTTTCCTTCTATCCTGTCAAGAACAGATCGTCAGTTATATTTTTAGGTGTTAACACAGTTTTTAATGTTGTTGTTTTTATGTAATATTGAGAAAATTCTGCGCAATTACACTTCCTGTTCCACCCACTAGTTAAAATAAAACTTTCACCTATTTTTCTTTTTTTTCTTTTTGAAAAATAAAGTTGCTGTGTTGTAAGATTAAATGTTGTATAACGAATTCGTGTTAGTCTTGTTCACAGCCAATCTCTTTCCGCTACCATTGAACCTTGGCGCTTGTTGCTAAATCGGAAGCACATTATGGCCAAAAGTCACGCCTGCTAAATAAGCATTCTTCGCCAAGAAAAACGAAACATTATCGAGAATATCTCTGTGGAACATCAAACATATCCAATGGTTCTCTTGTTTCCTCTTCACAAACAGCCAAGAACAAAGGCCAGCGTTTCGCCTCCAACACTAAAACACTATTGTTTTTACACTGATCTGCCAAAAAGGACGGTGTTTCTAGGGCTAGATTTAAACAGCTTTTTGTCTTTGATCAACTACGAAATAAATTACCTGTGGTTTTCAGGTCTATCTGTTTCCTATTATTGTTTAAAATCAATCGATCAGCGATAACAGATCGAACTGGCCACACATACAGGTATACATTTTACAATTACCCGTAAACAATATCCTTAATTAAGGTAAAGGACACATTAGCCAATGAAATATGATTCTATTTACGTCCAGGGTGACGTGCAGTTTTTATTAGATGGTCAAACGGCGTGTGGCAACATCAACCAAGATGATATTTCACCCGAGTTATTGTTCTACGTTCGTGTCGGCACTCTTTGATGTGTCAACTTGAAAGCAGGTAACAATGATTAATCAATAAACCAATCGCTCCCTTAGGATCCACTGACCCCGTGTATACACCGTTACCGGAACCCCTTCTGATCCCTATCACCAATCAACAGCCCTTTATGAGTCTCATACCGTCATACCCGAGTTAGCATTGTTGAATGGACCTTCATAACATTAGCATCATCATATAGTACCCAGTAACGGAGTGATATGGTTAATATAATTAAGGAATGGCTAATATTTTGTTTCTGGTAAACATATTTGTATAGATATGTGTAAATACATACATGTGTAGATATATCTATCAATAAATACATGACATTTGGATATATCCACTAATATAATTCCGTTTTTAAACCTAATTTTAATTGCTATTTTATGCTTGACCCAAATAAACAGCAATGGTTCACATTAATTTTTTGTACTGTTATGACGTCCTCAGTTTTAACTTGTTACTGTTTTTTTCTGACGTTATCACTTGTATACTGAAGTTCACACTTAAGATATTTGTACTTTATCAAATTAAGATTTTATATGTATAGATGGTAATTTCTGAACCCTTGATGGCGGACGCAGCAACCCACTAAAACTTGTAAAACTCATTGATGGAAAATCATTGATGACCATCTTGTGATTCTGTGGAGAATTAACATAGGCGGAAATGTCAAGTGTTCTTTACATATGTAGGAACTGAGCCATTGCTGGTTGTGTGATATTAAATAAACATTTCATTCGTGAAATAAAAAAATAAATACAAAAATATTGAAAGAAACATAATGTACATTAAAGTATTGTAACCTTTCTTTTTTCTTTTCTTTTTATTACCTAGTAAAAACTGCTCGGTTGTCCTATAAAATATGATTGTACAAATGGAATGTGTTATATATGGCATTCCCCTCTTGGCAGTTGCACAGACATTGAACCATTTTATAAAATAAATAATAATCAGTCATCTGTGCGCCCATTCCTTAGTTTCCGTTCCATTCCCAGTAATCAATTAATACAGACACATGGTTTATCCCTCCCCAAATCCATAGGTCGACACGTTTAAACAGGAACATGATTTAAAAAAAATGCTAATAAACAACTTATACAATTACTGTTAAGGGGGTCATTACAATAATTATTGGACATTGTAGACTATCATTAACCCGGGACTGACCCCTGGCCAGTATGCACAAGTGGCTAGGTAGGGCAGGGGACAAAGGTGATTTTGTATAGTTCACTCTGTTTACCGTTAATCCCATCAATTCACATCATAAATACAGATGGCTGTCGTTATTATAGAAAACAACTTATAGACAGATATGTTTTTACTTTTACAGAGAAAAATCGACCAAGGAACTCCACTAGATCTTGATAATAACGGTACTTTTGTTTGCTGTGTCACTCACTGTAGTTTTTTCAATGTGAAAAATTGACCATGGCATTTCTATTGCACTTTAAAAAGCAAGTTAACCTCTAGCTGACCATACAGTGGCCGGCTCCACCTGGTACCTGTCCATTGTAGCCTAATGACGCCCTTCACATTGGCCAGTATACCACTCCAATCAATAATCATACCATATTTACACATACCTGGGTTTTAATTTCTTCAATCAAAACTAAACATTTCCAGTTCAATGACTTTACTAACAATCAACACAGTACTTGAAAGGAACACTTCCTTTTTTCTTTACTCATACATGACACATCTTAAAACGAGAAAAGTTGAAATAAATGTCATGAATTTGTTGAGTTAATGACTAACTAAGGGATAACCAGTGAGTAATCCTGCTGAGTGATAGACTCTGATTAGTGAGAGCTACTAACACATTGCCTTTGATTATTACTGCTTTACAAACTAACATAAAATTATTCCTCTAATTGAGACAATAAAAAATAGGTAGTAAAACAGTGTCATTTCTCATTGACTCTAAAACAAACATATTCTGAAAAAATCAAAGCAAGGTAACTCGAATTGGCAGGCACTCAACAATATTATCAAAGGATATTTATTACTGGTGATCTTTGTTATATCTATTCAAAACATTAAATATCTCAATAATCCAATTTCTTTTTATTTGCAAATGAATTTAATTTAAGACAGTTCCAACAAATATAAAAAGGAGTTATAAATTCCTATATTTTAATGAAACTAAATATTCACCATGTTAACTCATCAACTCCGCATTAAAGCCAGTTTGGTCTCTGTTGAGTATAACATATAGAAAGATCAAATTAACTTTGGAATTGAATATAATTAAAAATAAAACCCCTGCAATCTGTCACCATTTCATATCATTATAAATGACTGAATAAGACACCAAGACACTTATCAAGGCAGAATATCAATCAACAACAAATCCAATGAAATATTCTCTAATAATGAGATTGGGAGTTTTGCCTGGTGATTTGGAGAAATGTCAATCTCCCATGTGGTTCGGTTCTCCATTGTCGAGTATCAGTGATATGGAATGGACAATAACAAGTTGATATTGTTTAGTATCTATTTTAGCTATCGTCCTTGGTCGCGCCCATTGATTTACTTGGTCAAGCTAACACGACCATCGATTCCTACAGCGACAGTGCACAATGGATAGCGTCCTTCAAACAAGAAAGAAAATCTACCTCCATATAGAAGCTTTAAATATGGGAATTGATTTGAGATTCATCCTCCTGTGATTGCCCTTGCCTTGAACTGTGGCCATAATACCCCACGCCAATGTCTGAATGCAAAGCGGCACAATGACCGCACAGTGGCGCTTGTCCGTGTCTTTATTTTGCAATGACAGGGGGCAGAGAATGACAATTCATCGCCTTCTCCAGGTGAATGGCATGGCACATTTGTGTTTACTTAATACTTCTGATAGCCTGTAACACATGCAAATCCTCATGCACATCACATTACCCATTACGGTAACATTTGGGACGGATAAATAAACAGCCTATCGCGGTCAGATGACACGACCGTAAAAGGTATCGTGCCAACACGCCGTACAATGGTCAGAGCCTCCATGTATTGACAATTTATGCGACGATGAAGCAGATTATTTTCAGTAATAAAACTAATGGCCCAATATCAAGGATACCTCCTGTGCACTGATTAAACATGAATCACGGAACGTTCTGTGTCCAGCTCAGGAAGCGGAGATTTCCAGATGACTAAATAATTTCTGGAATTCAAGCCTTCATTTATAATATCATCTGACATTTTGATTTTCAAGTTCAGCTCTTCCCTGACATATAGTCTTTTCTCTTGTTTAATCTGAATACATCAGATAAATATGTATCTCCTTGTGGTAAATTATGTTACATGTAATATCATATAGACAAACAGATAAACAGTGAAACGTTTCAAACAAGGACTGAGATTATACAAAACAAGATCTTAACTTGGTTCAGGTGTGAAAATAAAAATATACACATCTCGATATATCAATTCCTACTATTTCTGGTATGATACTATCTAGAGTTTGATTATCTAATTACGATAAGTTTTAAAGTGGAAAAAGAAGAACCTAGATTTTTATTGACAACTCATAAAAAATACAACTTAAAAACACAAAAGTAACATTTTAAAAAGATTGTATTCCAACAAGCTTACAGGTAAACTTACATTAACTTTTTACCACTCTGCATTGAATTCAGAAACTCATAAACAGATAAAACACTTTTCACAGAAAGGTCTTTAATTATTAAGCTTTCTGTAGAAACACTACAAAATAGTCATCGTTTATCTTTGACAGCTAAAGAAATCCCCGTGTTACCTAACAGAACGTTATGGTTGGGTGTGAAACAAATGGTCTTTTTCTATCTCAATAAAAGTGGTAAAAACACCACATGACACGCTTTCTTCAAAATCAGAACCATCTGATAAAAAAGTACAAAAAAAGGTTGGACATACTTAACATTATCTAGATTTTCAACACGGTATTTGACAAGTCGTGTGTGAAACCAGTTACACTTTAAATTTCTCTTTGCCTGATAACAGCAAAAAACAAAAGAGAAACAATCCTGAAAGTCTGAATCAAATACAAAGAAGGTCTACCAAGACCGAGATACACAATAAAACAGCGCGGTGTGGTCTGATCTTTCTCATGCTAGGGTGGCCGTCTAATGATTCAGGATTTTGTTATCATAAAATTAAAGCTTTAAAGGAACAAAACATTAAGTGCCAGTCGGTATTGTCTCATCCTGCACCTATAAAAGCAACAGCTAATTCTTACTTATCACTTTAATCAAAATGACGAGATTTAGAATTGACAAAGGCTATTAATGGCTTCTCCGACTTTTGTTTGACATACATGCATTGATTTACACACTGGTTATCTACCGTTTATCCCTTTTCTTCTTTGTTGATTTTTTTTTCATGTTCACTGGGTTTGAACAGAGGAGCCAATACAAGGCTACTGATCCGTAAGAACTCGGAACTGTCTGTTCCTCGGTTGGCCTTTGTGTGGACGCTTGGACTATGAACATCCAGTGTGTTGGTATGTGTTTCACTAGTGTGCCTCAGTGCATGATAGATACGCTATGAGGATCTGATAACAACCACCAAGGTCAAAAGGTGAAGGTCAACTTGTCAAGGTCAGCACCAACTGAACTCAACTGGGTGGTTCATCCTTTCAACAAGTCTTCACTTCAACACTTCCTGAAAAATTGAAAAGAATGCTGCACTTGTCAAACTGATAAATCAAATAATTTCTGCTTGAACCTAATTTGAAAAAAATTTCTTAACTCATTCTAGAGATTGTGAAGTTAAAGTGTCTGAAATGATTTCTGGGCTTAAACAATGATATCGGAGAATAGCTCCACAGTGTCAGTTCTGTTATTACTTATCACATGATATCTATAATATGAAATCTGTCATAAAGCTGAACACAGGCCCTGTGGCCCGTTATACATATAAAACTGGCCCGTTATACGTATAATACTGGCCCGTTATACATATAAAACTGGCCCGTTATACATATAAAACTGGCCCGTTATACATATAATACTGGCCCATTATACATATAATACTGGCCCGTTATACGTATAATACTGGCCCGTTATACATATAATACTGGCCCGTTTTACATATAATACTGGCCCGTTATACATATAATACTGGTAGGTTTATAAATCACCACCATGTCAGTTAAGGCATGAGTAACCTGGAGAAGTTTATAGCTTACAAAACGTAAAAGGCCTCGCAGAGTTGCCACAGAGGTACACCTCCACTAATGTAATAGAGAAACTGTGGAGAAACATAGCGTCAGTATAGGCCTTGCAAAACATGTCACATATAGTATTAATATAAGTCTCAATCTATATAGCTTATAGGGAACTGCAGAGAAACATACGGATACGTCAGCAGACATGTAGTGAAACCTACGTCAGTACTAGATTGGCTGTAGAGGTATACAGATGATACTGTGACGTACATGTTACATGTACTGACGAAGACACAGTTACCTAAAGCTAACCCATCACAACAAACATGCTTTTTTCTAAAACATTAAAATGAAATAAAATATTTTAATATATTTGTTCACACAAGACAGTTTTGAGGTAACTTAGATAGACATGGTTGGTGTATATTTCACAGAACATAAAGTGTGGAGTTCTTAGTCTGGATTACAGGTCCAAAGCCCTTCACTTTGAGGTTACAGCTCTATAAATTCTGTTATCACCTTCAGGAGAAAACATAAACCTCCGTAGAAAGAAAAACAGCTTCAAAGTGAAACTCTGGAGTACATAAATTGTGAACACTCGAGCACCGTGTGGACCCAGGGATATATTCCCCGACTACAATACATCATTGATTACTCTTATCAAGTGACCAAATTTGCATGCAAAAAGCCCAACGAAGATCAAAGTGAGTTGTTTGTTTATCAGTAATATTTTGCTCTAAGAGACTTTCAACACCCTGACATCACTTTTATTCTGTGTCTACTAACTGTTGTGTCATTTCTAGATATCTGTTTGGGGATTTATCATGTACGGTTGGAATTTGAAAAGTACATGTTATACCTATATACAACACTGGTATATGTCAACAGGTACATGTGACCTGTGTGTGACCCTTTGTTTATTAAACAATTAATTATAATGACATTTTGAGGATTTTGTAATGAAGAATGAGGCGTGCGTCAGATTTAGTATAGGTTTTTAATATTTGTTTGATTCATCAGTGCCCAAACCATATCACTGTTTCTGTATCACCTTAATGCTTTAATGGCCTTCAGTGTTTACAAGATTAATATTATAGACCTGTTCTTCATACCCATAGCAATCTATCATTATGTAAAATGTGTCAGTAAACATTGTTTGTAATGTTGCTAGTATCACTAATCTCGGTAGATTGGTAGCCTGTATCAAAGGCTTCATGTTCATCATCAGCTGTAAACTAATAATGGCCGATGTTCTAGCTGCTCAATCCTACAAAGAGTACTGTTTCTCGTCAAAACAAATATTCACTTCAAAATGTTTCCTTTCAGCTTTCAGATATAAACTTTTTGTATTTGTTTTTTGTTTTTGTGCTCAGATATAGGCTCTTTTTTTTATCACATTATATGATAATATTAAGTTTATATATAGTCACATATATTGTCACACTGTTAATGCATTCACATCCCTTATATTTTGTTAATAAACACAATTCACATTTCATTTGTCCGATTTACAAAAGTCACCTGTGCACGTTCACCACATTACGTACAGATATAAACTTTGTTACTTCTGAAAATATGGTAAATGAAAATTCTTCAATGATATTTTAACTAACTATGTTTTCTACATACTACGTCTATATTTATATACCGGGTCTTCATGTATAGGAAGGACTTGGTGTCAACCATTTCAGTACGGTTTCTGAATGTGCTTTTCAGTTTATCAAGTCAGATGTTGGTTTTCTTAAAGTTACCACAGAACAGTTGACATTGGTTTTTTGTTTGATTCAGACCTTTACCTTTGTTTGATTCAGACCTTTATCTTTGTTTGATTCAGACCTTTATCTTTGTTTGATTCAGACCTTTATCTTTGTTTGATTCAGACCTTTACCTTTGACCCAAAAGAACACAATACACAATAAAAATTACAAAATCATTAGTAGATAAAATATGCTACAAAAGACGCATTTGAAGCAGAGAGCATGGCATCTCTTGATTGAAGAAAGCTAAACACACTCAAAGGTGTGATAGAATGCATACACTAATCCTGAAATCACCGACGATTTGTTTTCATTAAAACAATTTGTTGTAGACATTTGTGATTGATGAACACTGCTATTAACAAAACATGTTTGTTTTCCAAGGAAAACTGAAATCAAATGGAAATCTCAATTTTAGAAAAAAAATGATTAAAGTTTTATTTTGAATTCTGAATGATAAGGTTCAAGTTTGAAGTGGAGGTTGCAGAGAGACGGGAAAACGTATTACAGAATGCATACACAAACATATCGGAGATCAGTATTTATTGAAACTTCATTTTGTATCCTCGGAGATAAGATTGGCACATTGAAGTAGACACGGAGAGTGGGGACTTCCTACGATAATATTTACCCAGGTAAGCCCGGACGTCCCACCTACCTCTCATCACCTGGTAGCGTACAGGTACGAAACGCACTCAATCTCAGGTGTGGCTATTGTACATGTGACACCGTTCAGGGATCATACCAAAATCCTCTACCATATTTGGTGGTTTACGAGTTCCAATAACGTCTGTTAATCTACACCGGCAGGACCATAGCGAACACTTACCAATGTGATGAGCAGTTCGATGTTTGTATTGTAATAATCGCCAGTGATAATGTCTGTATCCAGGTTATGAAAACGCAGTAATTACCATGCTATTGTTAGATTTAGATATCCATAGATAGTGGAATACCTCAATAAATAGGGACGTATCTCGTATCAGGTGGACAGCGACCTAAAACATGTGTATCAGTAGAGACAGTTTCTTTAGGTGCAATCCAATATATTTTCAGAAAGGACATCTAATCTGGAATTAAATCAGGTGCTGGGGAATATTGGTACAAGATTTTGATTAAAATAATTGATTGTCCCACTCTCCACATTCAAAGCCAACTCAAGGCTGGGCTGGTACAGACATCGTGTAACATATTGTTTCTCTGTCGTAAGAGTGGCTTCGGCTTTTTATGATTATAAAAGGTTTTATACAAATTAAAGTCATCAACGTATGCTTATTTGATTGTCAATCAAAATGTACGTGTATATATGAACTTTAAAATGTGAACATTAAATTGAAAATAATTTCTGTGGTAGGGAATAAGCTAGAGTGAAGACATTTGTTTATTTGAACTCTGTCAGAAAGACACAAGTAATTTATATCAGAAAACTGATATTTTTTAATATAAAGTTTTTTCTTATTACAACAATTGTTAAAGAAGTTTTCAACTTTAAATTAATAACTCTGTTGGCCCGGACAGAAGCCCACAGAGGGTCATTATTTGGGAGGAAATGGACCTCGGCCGGCTGCCTTGGTGAAAGGAGAGTGTGCTATCCACTGCAGCACCCGGCCACCCATTGATTCAGCTTTACTGCTATACGATAATGCTGCCACATGGCTGCAGTCAGTTCGGAGACTGTGAACAAATTCAATCCGATTCCACACCCACTGAAATAAGTCACATAAAAACTTGACAAGAACTACATTTAAACAAAATGTTCAACCTAAGACTAATAAGGCAAGAAAATGTCTGTAAGACAGGAATGCCCCAACCTCCAATGCAAACTAGAGTCAATGTTTTACAAACTTCTATGAGTAATGGTGACCTTGGCCTTGACCTGTAACTCCAAAATACAAACTCATTCAAAGTTTTCTCACAATTGACATTTGAATAGAGCACGATTAAAATTTGGTTTAAAAAAATGAAGTCAAAAGAGTGATGACACTGCATCAGGACGGGATGGACCCGGGAAACACTATTCCCGCCACCCCGACATTAGAAGGTGGGGGTATTAAAACGCGCATGTAACTTAAACAGTAATGAGATAAAATGATAACAACATTTGACTAGTTTTACTTTTAATTATAATCTAAATTTCTCTGTTTTCTAGTACGACTGTGATTTGAAAAAATAATGTAAAAGAAAATGTAAAAAATAAGCTTGATACTAAATTAATTCACAATCTCAAAGATCGAGAAACTAAACTATGGTGATATTTAAGACTTACTAACATAGGAATCAAACCTTAAATCTGAAAATAAAACATTCAGGCAATTTCTTTTTTATAGATTGTAAAGTTCAAAATTGATAAAAACTGTTCCATTGAGTTTTTTATTTGATGTGGAATGAATATATACATGAACATGGCATATAAAGCAATCAATAAGGTTTTATTTTGTAATAGGGAAGTCATTTTTTACATTTTATATATCAAATTCTTATGTCAAAAAAGGGCACATTTCCGTACATTTTTTAAAAGAAATTAATTAAAATGACAAACTAAGAATTGATAGACAGGATGTGAATTGTATAACATTGTAAATGTATATAAATACAATCATATTTCATATTTGTCACCAGTATTTAACGAGCTAGAAAATATCCATTGATCAATTACTGTGGAGGTATTTGATATTAATGTATTTTTCTCATGACACAAGTTTTCTATTTCAGGGTTGTGACAGTCCATTTTTAGTTTT